CAGCATCATCATCATCAGCATCAGCATCAGCATCATCAGCATCAGCATCAGCATCATCATTCGTATCATCATCAGCATCATCATCGTCAGCTTCATCATCAACAGTATCATCAACACCGTCAGCATCATCATCACAATCGCCATCATCATGAGCAGCAGCAGCAGTAACATGATCATCATCAACAGCAGCAGCATCATCATCACCATCACCACCACCACCATCATCATCAACAATACCAGCATCATCATCGTTCTCCTCCTCCTCCACCCCCCCTGCCTCCTCCTCCTCATCCTCCTACTTTCTTCCTTCTCCTCAACCTCCTCCTCCTCCTCCTCCTCCTCCTCCTCCTCCTCCTCCTCCTCCTCCTCCCCTTCCCCATCCTCATCGTCATCCGGACGAGGGATTTATTCGGACTGGGCCAGCGCGTGAGACGAGGGTGAGGAGGAAGGGGACCGAAGCACCCAAGTGAAGCGATCAGACATCCTCCGACAGAAAGAATCAAAGGAGGACGACAACGATGATGCCAATGAGGAGTAGGAGGAGGAGGAGAACGAGGGTGGAGAAGGGAGGAACGAGGAGGGTGGAACGAGGAGGGAGGAACGAGGAAGGTAAAGGGGAAAGGGAGGCTGAGAGGAGGGAGCTTCAGTCGAACTTCATTGATCAGTCTGTCCCTCGCGGCTTGAGCCGCCCTCTTGCGCCCGCCTGCAACTCGCAGGGCATCCAGGCGGGGAGAGGGGGAGGAGGAACGAGGGAAGGGGAACGAGGGATGAGGGCGGAAGGAGAAAGGGGGAAGCAGGGAGGAAGGCTGGAGGAGGGAGAGGGGAGGGGACGGAGACAGGAGCAGCGCGAGGGGCAGCGCAGGAGCAGGAGGCGGCGGAGGGGCGAGACGAGGGCGAGCGCAACCCCCACGCGCCACGCCACTGGCGAGGGCGCCCGCGTGCTCGCCTGGCCACTCGCCCCCGCGAAGCCCCGACGCGCTCGAGCCAGGCGCTCATCCAGAAGACGAAGAAAGGCACATGAGCATGAACTGTTGGCGCTCCGCGCGGATGTCTTGGATTCGCGCTGGGCCCCCCTTCCTGGCGCGCGGAGCGCGCCGGGGGCGGCGCCAGAGGCGCCGTGGGGGGCCCTGACGCGCTCGAGCCAGGCGCTCATCGCCCGGCACTTCCAGCCCGTTATCCCCACGGGCGTGGGCAGCTATCGACCAAGGGGCTCGGCCCAGACGGGTCGCGGCAACGGCCCCGCCCACATCGGCAAACGAAGGGAAACAAACAACGACACAAGCAGGCAGACAGGAAGGTGGGTGTCTGGTAGAGCGCGTTTTTTTAAATTTCGGCGATGATAGGGCATTAAAGGGGCAGGAGAAGGGGCCGGGGGGGGGGGAATGATGTAACGCCTCCCCCCTGCCGTGCGCACGGCGGCAGTGCTCGGAGCGCACTGAGGGGGAAGGGGCGTTACGTTATATGGGGGGGAGGGGGGGGGGCCGGGGGCTGTAATGCACATTATGCCCCAAGCAGTAAAGAAACACGCTCGTGTCTGGTAAGTTGTCAACTATCGCGGGGTAGGAGCTGTCGGGAACAGACAATGGCATAGACAGAACAACTTCGAGGTCCGCGCGGATTCCTCGGACCAGCGCCGCCCTGGAGCGCTCCGCGCTCCAGGGAGGGGGGCCCAGCGCCGATCCAAGAACTCCGCGCGGACCTCCGAGTTTTACTCTTTATGCCAGCGCTTGTGGCCCAAGAGCTGGCCAAGCGGCGCCCACAGGCTGGGACCCGCGCCCTGAGCGACCGCCCGCGGCGCGTGGCCTGGGAGCAGCTCCGCGGCTCCGCCGCGTCCTCGAGCGCCACGCGCCGGAGCTTTACCCCTGGAGGTGCGGCGCTGGCTGCCCATCCACGGTAGGTTCGTGCGGCGTCGGTATGCGCAAAGGTTGGCGACACCGCGTCGATCGTTCAACCTTGAACCCATCACGGCCCCGATCGTTCAAGATTGAACTCCGTCGGGTCCAGTGGCGTCACCGTGTCCCTCGGTGCTTGGACGCCTGCGCCAGCGTCGCCGGCGCGCCATCGCCGCTTTAACCTACCGTACGGTAGGCATGTCAAACCAGAAATCGGCATGCCAAGAGATGCCGCACGGAAGCTTCTTCGCCCGCCCACCTGCTGTCCGCGAGTTGGTATGCTGACACTCGTCCAGCCCTTCAAGTCCGAGGCAACGGAGTCGGCAGCCAAGGGCGTCGTGCAGTGTTTTTTCGTGTATTCTTGCGGCTGTGCTGCGCTCAGGCCTGATGTCGAAGTTTTCGAGCTCGTGCCAGAGATGACGCCGCTTCCCGACATGTGGCCCGAGCACCATGTGCCGCGGGGAGCCAACTCATGTTCCGACGCTCGCTGCCTGGGGGAATGACCCAGGAGGCCCACAGAAGCTCGCGGGGTACCTCAGGACCCTGGAAGATCGACGAAGAATGCGGCCGAAAATTTCTACTAGCAAGATTTCGGATCGGACTTGTCTACTGCCTGAAACGTGCTGTGGGAGGCTGCCCTTGCGAGGTTACGGGGGGCCGCGCGGAGGTCGCCCTCGCATCTCCGCTGTCCCCGCGGCCCGTCCACTGCTGGCATGATTGCGGTCGATGCTGTAATTTGGTGTTCGACAACAACCGGGACACAGTCAACCCGTATAATGAGGACGCGCGGTGAGGATGCAGGGCCTTGGAGGGCCATGTAACCTTTTTTCGAACGAGGTTGGCCAGCGAAAGTCGCTAAGGATGGGCCGAAGGGGGCAAGGATGCAAGGGAAGCCTTGGAAAACGTCTCACCCTTACTGTGCGGGTTGACTGTGGCAGATGGGGACATCCGCTGCACCTCAGTAGGGCTGTCCCAATCGCGCGGTACACGGCCAAACCAGCACAACGAGACACGTGGAATCTCTGGATCTTTGTTCCGAATGTATGCTGGTCGGTTGGCTTGCTCCCTCTGGTGGATTGACTGGTGATACCGCCGATGTTTCAGTAATGCTCGTATGGCTTGCTTGCGACGGCACGCGACAGGTAACCCAGACAAATCGCTGCTGCCTAGGTCGGTGGGGGCACGCGAAACAAAAATAATATTGTACCACCGGTCGCGAACACGACATGACAAGACAAGACGCAAGTCATGTCGAAAGCAACGTTCGCTGCGGCGTTGTACTGGTGGACCGCGCGCTTGTTAGAAGCAGGATGCACCTGAATACGCGTGTCCCGCTCATTCCCGAGCTCGGGAAGACGCTTGGTCAACGCACATGTGTCATGCAGGGTGGAATCGATGCGACGACTGGTTTTCGGTTCCAAGACTACATTATCAATGGTCACTGCCATGTGTCGCGCGGCACTGCCGTGCATCCTTGAGAGTATCGATTAAGATCTTCACTGCGGCTGCCGTGCCGTGGCGCCACCGTGGCAGGCAAATGTCGGCAGGGCGGCTGCCAGGGTCGTCCGCCTGGGGCGCGCCCTGCTGGCCCCCGGGGGTGGCCTCCCCGGCGGGGGGGCGGGGGTAGCAGCCCCAGGCGTGCCAACTCCGCCCCGGCGTGGCCGGCGGCGGGGGCGTCGAAATAGGCCTGGTTGCACAGGGCGCTGTGGCGTTTGGTCCAGTCGCCGCGGAAATCCCGCGCCCACAGCGCCCTGCGGGACTCGCGCGGACAAGCTCGCAACGAAATTGATGGAGGAGGCGAGCACGCAAGAGGACAAGTGTGAGGGAAAGGGAGGGGGAAGAGGAGGAGGAAAACGAGGAAAAAAAGAGGAGGAGGAGGACGAGGAGGGGGAGGAGGAAGAAAATGACGAGGAGGAGAAGGCAGAGGAGGAGAAGGAGGAGGAGGAAGGGAGGGAGGAAGGGAGGGAGGGAATAATGGAGGGAGGGACGGAAGGAGGAAGGAAGAGGAGGAGGAGGAGGAGGAGGAGGAGGAGGAGGAGGAGGAGAAGGAAGAGGAGGAGCAAGAGGAGAAGGAATTATTGTTTTTCCCTCGCCGCAGGTGCACACCTCCGCCTATTGCTACGCGACTCCGTGGTGGCGGGTGACCCGCGGGCGGGGACGCGCCCAGTTGGAGGGAAGGGAAGCAGACAGAAGGGACGCATACTAAACAAAGAAGAGGAGGAGGACGAGGAGGAGGAGGAGGACGAGGAGGACGAGGAGGACAAGGAGAAGGAGGAGCATGCCAAGAGGGAAAGGTGTGTGTGTGTGTGTGTGCGGGGGAAAAAGAATTCCCAAAGGTCTTCGAAGGTTTCCCGGGGTCCCTGGAGACCTCCCGGGGCCAACAGATAGCCAACAGCGCCCACGCACCTCGCTTATCCTCCTCCACTCCTCACTCTTCCCACACCCCCTCCCCAAGAATTTGGGCACGAACAAATGCTGATACCGCTACTACACGGCTCTCCCCTGGCGCGCGTTCTAACCAAGACTTCGAAGCGAATCCAGCCGTGGCGACGGGGGAACCGTAGCGGATTTGCCTCCTCTAAGAGAGATCGCGCACTTTCTTTTGGATGGGCGAGGGCGACGGCGACGACGACGAAGGCGGCCAGAGCGCCCCGCCGCAAGTGCAGTTGGCACATCGGGCGCGAGACGGACACCGCCAAACAGACCTGGAACACGGCACAGAGCCGTTGCTGCGTGTGGGAACGGCTGCACAGACGCGAGCGTCGCTCGGCGGCGCGAAGGGAGGGAAAGAGCACCAGACTCTCCGGATCACGGGCCCCGCTGGCAACGCTTCGGTCGCCCGCAGGTTGGATCTTCCAGCTGGCAGGAGGAGGAGGGGGAGCAGGAGGAGGAGGAGGAGGAGGAGGAGCAGGAGGAGGAGGGGGAGGAGCAGTTCCATCCCGTTCCTTCCCATTCGAGCAAAACTTCGGTTTCGCACCACCTCTGCTGCTCTGGGCCAAGACTGTTTAGCCTGAGATCTCCACTTTGGGGGGGCCCACACTTCTGAAGAAACTCCCAGAAACGGTGGATCGGTGCCCCGCCGAAGCGCGGGGACACCCCACACGGGGCGGGCCTTGGATCCTAAAGGGTGGACCGACGGGGAGGTGGCCAGCAACCCCAGGATGGAGGGACGCAACGGCCACTCCCCCATCCTCGGGCACGCAACAGCCCCCTACCAGTCCCCCAACCGACACTAACTACTTCTCAATCTTGATCAGCCTAACTAGCTTGCCTCTCGGGGCCCCGCCTGGCTTATTGTTAAAGCCAACAGCCCTAAGAAGCTGATAAATTACCTGCTCGACTGTTGCTACTTTTCCTACTCCCTTTAGCTCGAATTCTAGCGGCGACCTGATCACCCGTCCCGCCGCGACTGCCTTCTCGTCGAGCTCTGCGGCCTGGTCCTCGATGGTCCTCCAGTAGGTCTCCTGCTCCTCGAGCAGGTTCGGTCCCTGGGCGCGTGGGTCGGGCAGCATGATAGAGCCGACTACCTTGACCGTGATCCTCGAGATGGCCGAGTCCTGGGTGTTGCTTGTGCTGCACTCCTTGACCCAGGTCGACGCCGTGGACATGTCGCTCTTCCTCATCATCAGGAGCAGCCGATTGGGCACATCCGATAGGTTCTTGACCGAGTCCTGAGCACCGCCCTGCTTCTCGAGCCAGACGTTGAAAGCGCTCAGAAGAGCGGCAAAACTCTGCAACTCTGGAGGGCCGAGACCGTGCGCGCCCGCCTTGCCCTCCGTCTTCTTCTGGCACTCGGTGTACGTACTCTTGAGGATCGCCACAATCTCCGCGTCGCTGGGCCCGTACACCGCGAGGCCCGCCCCGAACTCGAGCGTGCGGACTCTGGACTCGAGCTGTCGAAGTAGCCTGGCGTTGGCGTGCGACTCCTCTCCCTTGCCCTCGCCCTTGGCCGACTTGGCCCTGACCCCCTCGGCGGGCTGTCCTTCCTCTGCTGCTCGTTTGCCCAGCGTGCTGGCCATGAGCCAATCTAGCATCCTCTCGACGATAGAATGAAATGCTCTCCTCTAGCCCAGGAACTTCGATCTCGAGCACGTGAGTGTGAAGATGCTGCTGGAGGTGCTCAGCCAAGATATGTCTACGGAGATCGCGATTGTCGCTCGCCGTGTAATCGCAGGCTGGACATTCGAATGTTCGGGGCAATGAAACTTTACCATCTGTGCGTCCCTGATCACATATACATCTGCCCTTTAGTAAACTCTGGCGCACGTGCCGCTTCGCGTAATCGGTCGACGAGAAATTCGAACCACATATCACACACTGGCTGGGCACGCAACACATTCTACCGAGTAGCTGCTTTCCGTGGGCCCCTCCTTTATTTCATCAGGCAATGCGCCGCCAACTGCTTTTTGCTGAAAAAAACTCTCTCTACATTGCTCGCCGTCGTCTCCTAATGCCGTGCATCTGTAGCCCCCCCCCCCCCCCCCCTCTCTCCACCATCTCCTGCGCGTGCTCGTGCTTGGTGAGGTTCAGGAAATAGTGCGCCGCGATCCCTCCGACATCCAGTTGCACGCCCCCCCCCCCCCCCTCCCCCTGCCCTCGAACCGAATCTTTTCCCATCCATATATTTCCAGAAGCCTAGCGCCGTCATCGAAAAGCCCGATCGCTCGAATGTCCTCGCAGAAGTGTACACGCCAAGGATTCGCAGCCCCTTCGTTGCTCAGGTATTTCTGGAGTTCGCTGTCGTTGTCGCCCCGAGAGCACCCGAAAACAACTGCAATAAACTGGGCACGCCGTGGGGGCTCTCGAAGGCAAGCCTGAAGCCATCTGAGCCTCCTGACACGCATTTCGACTTGAGGGGTCGCCAGGCGCACTTTTGCCAGCACCTGTAGGCTGGCGGGGGCCCTCACCGAGCCGTCTTCTTGCCAGAGAGCCGTTCCTCTCAGCAAGATTCTTGCGCGCATGGCAAGAAGAGAAAGCACAGGCTGCAAAGTTTGAGCTCGCATGGGCCCGTTGCGCGCACACCAAACTTCGGCTCCACTGTAGCACGCATTGGCGACGTATCCCTTCAGCAGGTTGATATCCCAGCTGAGCGGGACGCCACTCGTCCAAAAACGACGCAGCAGGCACCAGGCTGCGCGCCCCGCCTGCAGGCGAAATTCAACTTCACCGAGTGCGAAACGCGAATGAATGTGCGGCCCCAGGTACCTCGCACCTAGTGTCGCGCGTCCGTCGAGGCACTGTTATTTTAGAAGCCTGGTCTCAAGGTACGCTGCACTGTGGCCGCAAAGAAAAAGCATGTTCTCCTGCTTAGCTACGTTCTGAGCCATTGCGACCTCACTCACTCCCCCATAATAATGCCATTATGACGCCTCCCCGCGTCGAGGATGTCCGCCATGGCGTTCGTCGGGGCGTCGAAACTGTCAGCCGCGTCGCCCACCTAGAGTTAAAAGCTGCTTGTCTCCACTTGTTGTGCCACGGACATTTGAAACTGTTGTGCTTGTAGCTGTCCACCGTGATAGTTCCCATTCCCATTTGTCGCGAGTAGGCCCCCACAAATAGTCGTACCATGACAGGGTCACCTGGTAGACACCCTTGCTGGAGCAACAATGTAGTGCTGGCCGTGTCCCCAGGAAGCGCGAGGCTCGCAAGTTGGACCCTGAACTTCATGGTTGCCCAGCCCTCCTCTCTGAAGATGTGCTCTACCTCCTGGCATAGGCTCTCGTGGTCTACGCTGTAGAAGGCATTGGTGGCGTCGCGTAGCCTCTTCACATGGGATTCGCCATTGTAATATTTTCGCCGCGAAAAGGCCTGCTGGACAACCACCGCCGCCTCCCGCCTCCGCCCAGGTAGGCACCCGTATACCCACGGTTCCACCGTCAGGGGGGGGGGGGGGGGGGCGCCCTCTCTTCAGTAAGCTCCTGAAGTACGCCTTCGCGACCGTGCGCACTAGCGTGATGAGCCTCTCGCCGTCTACGCCCTCCTTGCCGTTTCCCTTTCCAATTTTGCAGGCCTCGGAGCATGCCCAGGCGCGCGGCAACTTACTGCTCTCCCTGATGCCCTTGAGTAGACAGAAAATAACGAAGTACACTGGGCCCGCGGTGATCTTGCCCGTATTCTCATCTCCGGTGCCGAGCGCCGCCCCCCCCCCCTCCCCCCCCCCCCCCCCTCCACTTGTTAATCCAGTTGGGGAACATGGCAGCCCTGAGGAACTCGGCGCCGACGCTGGCCTGCGGCGCAGCCCTCCGCAAGCGGAGACACCAAACCTCGGCCTTGAACGCCTCCATGCCCTCGGCTATTGCGTCGTTGTCCACTTCTTGGTAGCTCTCAGGCAATCTGTCTAATAGGTCGATCATATGATCCGCTGAGAGAGGGAGTGCCGAAGCGCCGCCCTTGTCTCCTGGGAGTTGCAGTCGGCCCGTCCATTCCATTACCGCTCCGCTGGTCGAAAGTTGTCTGTAGTTTCTCTTCCTTGGTCCTCTGCCTCTGGCGGCGATGAGGCGGGCTAGGCGGTGCACCTCGTGGAAGTCCCTGTTGGCCCCTGCCTCATTGAACGCCGCCACTCTGTCCTCCTGAACTCTGTGCCAGTGCTGCTGCTTGTGCTTTCTGAGCCATCTGCTAGTCGTGCTGATGCGCACTGTGATAGCGAGCCGCTCGTCGCCGTCGTCCTTGGTGCACGCCCATGCGGGCTTTTCACGGAGACCCCGCCTCTGTCGTAGCAGCCTGCTGAGCTCCGCTGCGTAGTCCGTATGCGACTCTGCGCAACCCTCTTCGGCGTTGCAAGTGGCCTCCGCCCCAGCCTTCAGCGCGTCGATCAAGAGCTGATTGGCCTCAACTGCTTTGTCGTCGCCCGTCTGCGAATTGAGCCAGGCCGCCTTTTCCAAGATCGTCGCATGCACTTTGTCGATGAACTCACGTCTTCTGTGTCCACGCTGCAGTAGGGCGCTTGCCGCAGTCGGCTCAATCGTCGTTCTGGGCCTCTGCTGCACCGCTGCGAGCTGCCCTGAACTGACCAGCGCCATTACCAATGGTAGATGGCCCCATTCTCTCCCCCATCTATGTGGCTGCAGTCTCCGCATGCTCCGCCTAAAGGTCGTGCACCATCGCACTGGGGCCACGAGAGCAGCTGGCATCGCAATGTAGTCGGGCGCCTTGGCCACTCCATTGGACCCTACGAATGTATAGCCTGCATCCTTCATTGCGTTCGCAAGGCATAGCTCGTGTGCAACCAAAAGGGGCCTGAGCAGAGCGGCCGCTGGACGCCCTTCCTGTCCCAGTGCATACTCTCCTATGATTCCCTCGACCTGCGTGGCGAAGACTCGGCTCAAATCCATTGTAATGATAGGGGTCCACCCCCCAGAGAACCCGCCCAGGGTCTTGGACAGCCATCTTGTCGTGATTTCGCAACACTGCATGTATTTAACCTGTTGGGGTCTCTCTCTCGGGTACACGGTGGGAAATACAAACTGATAAATGCGAAACGGAGGCGCTGGCGTTCGACCTTACAACAGAAAACCCGCTCCTGGAGACCTCGGGGGGGCTACAGCTGCACCTCGGAGATGGCACGGTCGGAACACTTTGCTGTTGAACCATATACTGATGCCGCACGATTTGTTGGTGTGCGCTCCCGACTTCCAGCCCTCGGAGTATCCCCAGACTCCCCCTTCCTGTCGCAGATCTCGTGGGGCCCTTTCCTTCCCCTGTGTCCCGGCTAGCGTTATGACCGACTTCGCATGCAATTCGTCCAGGATGTCTTTCGTGCGGTTCTGCGTGGCGCTGTTGGGGTTGCACATGACGATGCTTACCTGCCCAAGATGCGCCACTGGGCCCCGACTCATGGCGGGCCTGCTGAGTGTGCTACCCATCTCATCTGAATTCTGAAGTGGCGCGAGCTTTCTTGAAACCTCATACGGCCACTTGGGGAAGAGCAGGAGGAGGAGGAGGAGGAGGACGAGGCGGAGCGTGCCCAGAGAGGTACGTCAGCAACCTGGATGACTAACTGCTGCTACTACTGATGCTGCTGCTGGCTCAAGGCTGATCGCTGCCACTGCCTTAAATCCAGAACACTGGCCAATGAGAGACATCTGGCGAAAGATGGGAGACAGGCGGGGGCGCCTGTGCAGCATCTCGGACAGCCTGAAGCAGTTTCTGCCGCGCGCGCGAATTCCTCTGCGCCTGCCGACTCAGCGGCATGCGGATGGCCACCGCAATGGCGTCGGGCAAAGAGGAGGCGTTGGGGAACGAGAGATGGCGCCCCTGTCGCGAGGCGCGGTTGGCGGCGATCTGACACGTACGATAGCAGGCAGCAGTGAACGCGAAGTGGTGACCGTGGAGGCCTAGGATAAGTGAGACACTGGAGGGCAAGGGGACCTTCAGAGCCCTGGAGGCCCAGAGGGGGAGCGGGGAACAAAAATATATTCAATGAGACAAGCGATCAGAGGCCCCGTGGCAGCCGAAGACGCACCCACCTCCACGCTGCAGCCTGGGACCTGCGGTCCAGCCGCCAAGCCAAAAAGGAAGGGCGATGAACGACCGCGGCTTCGGAATCTCAGCGAGAGCGGGGCGAACCGACTGCCACTGCACGAGCGAGAAAACGACTTAGCATCGGAAGTGTGCCCGAACTCTTTTCACAATGAGCGGCTCGAGGGATTGGCCGAACGCGAGTACAATATAAATCTTGGCGAATCGGCCCTGCCGCGTCGGCTTCCGCGCTACCTGCACCTATGGGGCGGATCACGGAAGGCGTTCATAGCCTCCGATCCAGCGGCTCGGACACGGGGGTTGGCTGGGAATCCCAAAGAAGCCTTTTCGAGAGAGAGGGTAATCGCCGGGGAGGACCAGAAGGGAGGAGCCAACTCTTTGGAATGCCACCATCCGAACTTCCCGTGCGCATGCGTAGAACTTCGGAAACGCGACAACACAAACTGTCAATGTGGCACGAACGTGGTGGGGGCGGACCTCATGAGCGCAGCAGCAGCAACCGAGAGGAGGGAGACGGGTTGGGGAACGTTCCATTCGGCCAATTAAAACCAGTCGCATCGCCGTAACATGGCGTGATGGACTCGAGGGGCCCTCG